TCTACTTCCGTAGTGATACTGCCTCGGAAACCCAAGGAGGGGTCGCTATGAGTTGGGTCTGACTCGATGGCACATAACAACAACAACAACAATCTTATTTGGATATGTTTTATTTCTTTTCTTGCTTTACTAACCTGGCTTGTAGGTATATGTGAGAGCAGTCATCCTTTTCTTGTTGCTGTTTTGTTTTTGTTTTTGTTTTTCTTTTCATCTCTGAAGATCAGGGACTTGACGTGAGGGGAGGAAGCATTTATTTGTCATCATGTGCTTTCAGTTGTGTTTGGGTTTTCTCACCTTGTTCATGCATTTCTTTAGTTTTCTTTTAAATGTCAGCAGAGTTATCTGGGCACTGAAATTTCAAACTAAGTTTAGTTTCATTTTATATGGTTCATTTCAACAGCTTAACCAATGTTGTATACTAAAAAGAGTAAAGATAAAAACTCCTATAGAGCACAGTTCTACTCTGACACACATGGGGTCACCATGAGTTAGAATAAACTAGAACACAACTTTTTTTTTTTTCCATCTAGAAAGTTTCTAGATCTAACAGAGGATTTTAGCAAAGTTGCTATATAAGTTCAACAAACAAATCTCATTTGGTTTTCTGTGCACAAGTATTAAAGGCTGTGTAATTTTTGGCCTATTATCTAAACTTCCAGGGACATTTACAGTGTAATAGGGTGAAAAGCCTTAAGTTTGAGAAACAAACTTCAATCAGAGGAATATAGAGTCTCAGTCTCCTAGTTTATTACCCTTCTCAAGTCAGCAGTCCATCCCCAGCTGAATTATTGATTCCATTTCCTGTATACTCAGTTTCCCACTTTATCCTTTATGGATTGCCAATTCCTAGGTGTCAAATACTGGAAAATGCGATCTTTAGGTCTAATCCAGGACCCTGAGCTTTGGCTAGTTTGGCCACTCTGCCTGTTCTCACTTTCCCCCTAATGTAGTTCCTTTATCCTGTCATTAATGTCCAGGAACTTGCCTTCCTTACTTATACTAATATTCCCATGCACTCTGATTTTTATGACAAGGTTTCTGCTCTGACATCTCCTTCCACATCCCTGTTTTAGAAACCTGTCTACTGCCCAGTGCTGGTGTACAGATTGAGCCCTACCTTGCAGTCACTGGTCTCATTCCCAGTTCACAAGAGGGGCATTGCTACATAGAGTTGAGCCTCTGCTACCATAAACCAGCCTTTCAGCTCACTACTTAACTGACCACATATACACCTGTCCTCCCATAACTGCTCTACATGGAAGGCAGAAAAGACAATTTTATCTTTCTTTTCTTCTTCTCTCCCTCTCTCCCTCCCTCCTTCCTTCCTTCCTTTCCTCTCCTTTTCTTCTTTCATCCCCTTCTCTCTTTCTCCCTTCCTACCTTTCTTTTTCTATCCTTTCCTTCCTTCATCCATTTCTCTCTCTTCCTTCCTTCCCTCCCTTCCTCTTTCTTTTCTTCCACCCTTTATTCTTTCATGATAAAATTCACCTAATATGCAATTCACAATTTTAACCATTTTAAAGCGTGCAATTCAGTGTTTGTTAATACAGTCACAAAATTATTCAACTATCACTACTATGCAGAATATTTTTATCATCTCAGAAAGAAACTTCATACTCATTAAGCAGTCACACCTCATTCCCACCCCACTTCCTTCCCAGTCCCTGGAAACCACTAATCTTTTTGTCCATATGAATTTACCTGATCTGGAAATTGTGTAGGGGTGATATCATACAATATGTGGCCTTCTGAGTATGATTTCTTTCACTTGGTGCAAAAAGGGCAAGGAGGCCACATGTTCTGACCTCCTCTAACCCCACAAGAGGAAGACAGAATCACTATCAGTAGTCCAAGGCTTATTACTGCAAGACCAGACATGCTGCCTCCCTCCAGCCCTTTCACCAACTGTTCCTTCCAAAGCACCCACCACCTCTCTCCTGGGTTCAATAATTCACTGCAGTGGCCACACTTAACTAACAGATTACAGGGTTTATTAGGGGAGCACCACAGACTACAAATTAAGTTCAGGAAA